GACATTTTATACAGCCCCATTATGCCGAAGAACTCAAAAGTGTTGAACTATTTCACCCAATGTACCAATTTAAAAAGTGGTAAATGCAATAAGTGTTCAACAATAATATCAAACAAAGATGGAAATACTTTTTTTTTTTTTTTTTATTTGCATTCACTCCCAACAAGGCTGCAAGCAACCACTATTAAGTTGGGAGTTACTAGGAAAGAAAAAAAAAACAGAGTTATAGAGCAAGGAAACGGTTGACAGAAGACTTGAAAAGTTGAAGGTTGTATGAGTCAGGAAAACATGAAGATGGGAGAGAGTTCCAAAGGATTGAAGTGCGGGGAAAAAAACTAGATGAATAAAAGTTTTTAGAGCATTTTTTGTTTGCAGTAAACAACTGGGTTTTGTTAGAGTTAAAATTCACAAGCCACTGTGAACCCCAATCTATTACTTAAGTGAGATCAGATGATCGGTGATCGGAGATCGGATGATCGGAGATCTCAGAGATCGGATGATCAGAGATCGGTGAGATCGGATGATCAGAGATCGGTGAGATCTTCATCAATTATTAAACATTTAAAAGTTAAACATGAAATTTCTTTACCAACACGAGAAGAAACAGGAAAAAATTCCACTACAAAACGATTTAAAACTATTGACAATTCTGTTTCCCTTGCAAGAAAGTCTTAAGAAGAAATTGTCACTAAAATGGCCACTCTTGATGGTTCATCAGTTAGGGCAATTACAAAGTCTAGCTTTATTTGTAAAAGTTGAGTAAAATCAAGTTATAATCTTCCTAAAGCCGAAAGAGATGTTATGAATTTAATTCATAAATTTCATGAAAAAAATATTAGAATTATCATAAGAAAAAATTAAAGAAGGCCAACGATTTAGCATTACACTTGATGAATGGAGGAGTATGAAAATTCGGAAATATCTAAATATCAATTTGCATGGAATTGACTCTGAAGTGTACAATCTGGGTTTAGTGAGAATTTTTAACTCGTGTACAGCTGTACAATTAGTTGAAAAAGTAAAACAACATTTAAACACATATAATATTAATTTTAAAAAGCATATAGTTGGTTCAACTGGCAACAGTGCAAGTGTAATGATAAAATTAGGACAAGCTATAGTCTCTATAGCTTGTGTTGGAATCACACTATATACTTAGCTGTGGGTGATGCACTATATAAAAAGAAAAATATTGCTGTCTTGCAAGATGAAGATGATACTGATGGTGATGACCATGGTCAAGATGGTATTGATGATAATCAAGATGAAAATTATTATTCTGAGAGCGATAACCAAGATGAAAATTATTATTCTGAGGAGAGCGGCAATGACATCGAAGAGTATGGATATGTTGAATTAACAAATTTAGGAAATGTAGAAGAAAATACAAAAAGTGTTTGTATAATTGTTAAATTTTTTAAAAGTTGTGCGAAATAATATTCTGCAAGAAAAGACCTAAATAGTTTTAGAAAATAAACTTCAGCTAGTGTTAGACATAAAAACTTGTTGGAACTTATTGCTCGAAATGGTATCTTGATTTTTAAAATTATTTTATATCATTAAAGAAGCTCTTTAAGATATTGGAAATGTAAATTTAATAGAAAATATTATTATTGAAATATTACATGAATTGGAAAATAGGCTAAAGCCTATTAAATTTACTGTTAAAGCTCTTAGCAGAGACGATGCTAATCTTGCAACCACCCAATTAGCAATTGATTTTATGTTGAGAAAATTAAAAGAATCCAATGGTAATTTAAGAAGAGCTATTAATGACAATAAAAACTCAAATAAATAGCCGTAAAAACCAAGAATTAGAAAAGCTATTAGATTCTCTTGTAAATGGTACTATGCCTTTAAAGAAAATACAAACATTTACAACAGATTTACTGAAAAGATTGTTTGATGGGGATGAAGAACAGCAAAACACACATGAACAGGAACATTCAACTGAAAATAACAAAAATACTACAGGAAACGTACAATGGGCATTCAATTGAAAGACGAGTTAAACAGGTAACAGTAGCAGTAAGCAAAGTTTATTCTCATGTAAAAAGGAATGGTTTTATAAGAGGGCAAGATTTACCGAGACAGTTGATGTCTACTAATTGGTCAAAGAAGGATTTGATTTTAATGACAAAAAGTAAAAAAAAGTAAAATTTTTTTTATTAAAAAAATTATAATAAAAAGAATTCTTATTTTTTTAAATAGATAACTAAATGATAGATAAATGATTATAAATAAAAACTATAATAAAAAGTTTTAATAAAAATAGATTTAAAAAATGATTAAAAAAAGAGTTAAGCCGCCAAAAATATAAAACCACAAGTAAAAATTTGTTATTCTTGTAAAAAAAATTTTCGGGAATTTAAATGAATCCTAAATTACAATTCTTGGTAGCTTAATCATTTTGGATTATTTATTCTAAGCTTTTTTTAGTAATGTTTTATAAAAATAAAAGTTTTTAGATTACAGGGTTTTTAGTCCAGAAGAAAAAAAT